CTGCCCATCTACCGTAACTATTCCCACTGCACAACCCAGGATTCCTAGCAATAATTGGAGAATCACTGCTTATACGTCATGCAATTAGAATTGACAAGTAGCACTTGCCAAAAAAAAAAAAAAAGTTGTATTTTGGAGTCTTTTGCCCAGGTTCCCAGGCAGCCAGCCCTACCTTCTAAGACAACTCATTCTGTTTCCCCTCCTTCCAACAGTTTTCCTTTTTTCCCAGCCAACATTCCATGGCCACTGAGCATATTTGTTCCTCACTGAGCTGCACTTTTTTGTGGGGTGAGGAATTTCTTCCACTTTAGATTTTTTCCCCTTTTTGTTTCCTAAATATTTTATACCTCTGCTATCCTTAGTATTTCCTCATACCTGCTGCTATTTCCCTGCTCTTTTGTATTCATAAAGATCCATCCTCAGAAAATGATAGTAATATGATTTGATAGTAGTATATAGGATAATGACATTGCATTGAAGGAATATAGCAAGGCTGTCTCCTCAGCCACTTTGTTTCCTGAAAGGGAGCGGATGGTTTGGCAGCAACAGAACGTGTGCAAGGAGAGGACACATTCTTGCATACCACTTATATAGATAATAAGCCTCTAAACTAGAATAAAGTAGGCGAACCTATGACCCCATAAGTATTGCCCCTTGGTTCCACCACTACAGATGCAGGAGCAGCAATCTGGGCTGCTTCATGGTCACTGGAAGAGAAAGGAGCTGAACCTTCCACCCTGCTCCAGCAACCCTGACCTCACTGCTGCTTTACTGGCAGTAATGATGGTGGTAAAACAGTGAGCGGGACCAACTGCTGCCTCATTGACTTTCTTTTTGGTGGCAATTTTCACAACACCAGCTGCTGATCTTAGGGGTCTACCAAAAATGCGTCCCTTAGAATCTCTGACTGGGGAAATTCTGCCTGAAATTGGAAGCTGAGTCATGAAACCTCCCAAGTCAATGCCTGTATTTTACATGACGAATGTTGCAATTACAGAACTCCTCACTTTAAGGAAATCACTGTGGTAAAGGAGTCAGACATTTCCTAGGTCAATGTGTGTAATCTGACAAAATAACTCACAGAGCCCATTTACAGGGCAATATTACTTGTAGGACATCTTGCCTGGCAAAGCTATTCTAAGCACAGACTTTACACACGTGAGGTCCCGAATTCAAACATTAACATTTTCACTTAAAGAATCACAGGAAACAGAACTAACAGAGATGGCCTTAAGAGATGTCCACTGTCAGATGGAGCTAAAACTAAGACAAACTGATACAGTCATAAAATACAACCTATACAAGTGGTTGACCCAGTCTTGGCTTTAGGTCTGATTTAGAGTATCACATTTACCACTCACCATCGTCCACCAATTGTTAAGCACGTACTCCTGAATACAGGGTACTGTGTCCTAATGAACTGAAGCACCCCAATTCTAGAAATTTATTTTAACCACAGCTGCTGAACTGCTGCCAAGCTAGGTGAACTTGCTGGGTGGTGCCAAAACCACAGTTTGGGCCATAAATTCTCCCACTGTTATTGCACATCAGCTTCATAAGGGAAGCAATGGTATCACAGCACTATGAGAACAGGGCTATACAGCCAGAGCAGCCTGTGTAGTCTGAGATGCAGAGCTGCTTGCCTAGCCAGGGAGGGAACTTGAGGCAGCTAAACCCTGAATTCTTAATTTGTGGCTTGCATCACTGACCAGAGAGATTACAGCTAAAACTTTCGAGGTTTGTATCCAATAAGCCATGAAAAGAGCAAATCGAGAATCTAAGCACTAGATCATCCCTCACATTCCTGAACCAAGCTGAAGTATGTTGTTTGAGCTGGCTTAATCAGCAAGACAAAACTGCCTTCAGCTCAAGTACTTCAGCTTAAATGGATTTTGGATGAAGCTGCCCAGAAGATTTGACTTAAATTAAAATAATTTTGCCTGTACAAAATCAGCATCAGACTATTTCCTGCCTCCTCGATAAACAGTTCACTGCTATTCCTAAATGCAAAAAGCAACTAAGAAATAGTATAGTGTTAATATTTACTTTTGTTTCAAAGGTATTATTCCCACAGACCTCCTTTCTTCTCAGTGCAGAAAACAGAAGCACAGAATTTTCCATGGGAAAGGCAGGGAATGGACATGGACAACTTTCTGAAGTTATGCCCTCATAGCAATGAAAAAATTAAAAACCCTTTATAACGTCATCAGAAACATTATTTATTATTCTACCTCTAGCAAGCAGAGAATGAACATTTTTTTCACATTCCTCATATATACTACATCTAATTTCTTCCTTAGAAATAACTGGCAATTAGTTTTGTTTTTAAAACTAGATAGACAAAAATGGTCATGAATGCCATTGGTGAGAGAAATACAGTGAAGTGGGGGCAGGGGGTATATTTATTTGTTTGTTTGTTTTTTATTAAAAGCTTTTGTATGCCATTCTATTATACAAGATCTCAGGACGGCTTACAATATTTAAAAACAATTAAAAACAACAATTTCAATAAATAATAAAACAAAACAAAACAATAAATCACAAAACATACAGAGTGACTAAACTTAAAAGCTGTTAAACTTTAAAATACTGTTTAAATAAAAAGGTTTTGGCCTGGCACCAAAAAAAGAGTATAAACTTGGCGCCAGGCGTACCTCTCTGAGTATATAGAATGGCAGTTGGAAAGAGTAACGCCAGGAAAGTTCTGAGGTATGACAGATGATTTTAAAAAATTAAGTCAGGATTTAGAATAGGAATAGAAATACTTCTGAAATGAGAAGATAAAGATATCAAAGCAGAGATGGGGGGGAAAGAGACTCTAAGTTGTGAGGATAGCTAGGGAGTAAATGAATCCGAGGCAACCAAGGCGACAGTTGAAAACGAACTGGAGAACAGGCAGGAGCCCTGCCTTTACATAGCATTGGGGGAGGGGAGAGGGAGGGGCTCCCACCAAAGAAGCTCTCTCTGTCTATCCGGGCAGAGCCCCTATGTGTGACACACAGTTACCACGAAGAAGAAGTATTATACTGTGAAACCTTGCATGTCGTTTTGAGAAGTAGTATCAGTTGGTAATGATACATAATGGAGTGATGTGGTCATGCTTTCCAACATGTGATGTAAAGGAGCGCCCCGCCATCTCACCCCACCCCTTGCGCATCAATGCAGTCACCCCCACTGGTGGAGAGTGACAGTCTTGATGGCAGGGCCTTCCATGCCAGCACAGGCTCCGTGTGAGCAAGGATGCCGGTACAGGAGGCTCTTCTGTTTAGAGTGGCACTTCCGGGTGACAAAAGGGAGAGGGATGATTTTAAGCCCTTTCCTCATGCATTTATAGGGCTTAAGATGACAACTAGAATCCCGCTGGCTAAAAAACTGGCAGGTTAGTTCAAACCACTGTGAAATTTGGTCCCCATCCTACTCTCCTCACTCATGCTGCATCCTTAGGATTGCCAAAAAGATGGAACCACAAATATGAATACAAATAATTAGCTGTGGTAAAGACAAGTAAAAGAAATCAAACAGACAATCATACTAGTTTCCAAAACAAAACAAAACAAAAACATTGTATCTGAATTATAAGAGCTTCCGAGTGATGATGCCTTTTAAAGTGCACACAGACCACTGTTCTGCAGAATGGGCAAAATGGTGAATAGATATTTAAAAGGCTTTGGCAAAGAAGTAGGAATCGGGATTTATTGGTATACTGAACAGGTGTGCAACGAGAGAAAATGTTTTTCACATTCAGTGGGTGCTAACCTGCCAGGTTTTCCTTCAATTAAACACTTGGGCCTATACAAAGCAATGTAAAATACCTATGTATTTTACAGTGATGCAGGAACACTTAAGAGTTAACAAATGTGTGCACATGTGTGTGCGCACAGGCAATACGAGGGACAACTGGAAGGAACAGAAGGTGGATGCTTGGAATCTGTATCTACAACAAGCCACAACAGCAGTTTCATGTGCCATGAAAGTTACTCAAAGTCCAGATTTTCCATATCATAAGTTCATTAGTAAAATGAATATATGCCAATTGCAATACATTATGAGGCAAACTTGGCAGTTTCAAAGTTATATTTAATGGTTTTTCAGGTGCCCAAACCACCTTCAGGAGACCTAAACTTCACTGAAAGAGATGAGTTGCAGACAGCAAATCATGTACCAAATTTTTTCAGTTGCTTAAATCAGTATGTGAATAGTGTTCAGTACCTTTGTGTATGTCTGCCTTAGATTTAAATTAAGTACAGGCTACTGTACTTAAATGTGTGCAAGTATTCTGATAAAACATCAACATAATATAACATTTAAACTACATTGTATTTTAATTGCTCTCATTAAATATTTCAGGTCAAATACATGTGGTATATTGGGACAAAAAAATTAACACGCTGTACTTTTTTGCTTACTAAATACAAGATAAAAATGCTAAGTTAGATCTCTGCAGGGCATCAGAATTTTTTCCAGTGCAAACTGAAACTACTTCTTCATCTTCAGCATCATCTTTTTCTTGAAAAACACCTATCACTGACTCCATAACATGAATAACATACATAACATAGGAACAGAGCTCTGGATGAGAATGTAAAAAGAGTGGTATGTGTCTTGCATTCCCTGCAATGGTCTCTTATTTTCTGCATTCATGCACACTTGGAAGAAGGCAGAAATAACAGAACACTATTGAGCCTTCTAACTGCTTCCAACAACACCTTCCAACTGATGTAGATTGGGGCCTTAGAATTAGGGACCACAGCTTTGTGGGGTAGGGAATGAATCCATGTGCCCCCTCTCCTCCCACTGCTAGTCGGCACTATCAAAGTTGACAGTAGCCTCAATTATTTATTTGAGAAAATTTTTTCAAAAAGCATATCTACCCCAGGGAGCTGATTAATAAAACAAAAGAGCTGACCATCAAGGGAAAAAACCCAAGTTGCCAACATTCTGCATGGTTTCTTTCCATAGTCTCAGGTAAGTTTTTCGGTCAGCATAAATCATCTCCTTACCATCTGTTATGACAACTTCTTCCTGCTGTCCTTTCAGCTCCTCTGGTTTGAGGTTGAGCTCCACTTGCTCTTCTGTAATTCCGTTAATACTGGATATCTGTCCATTCTTTTGTAGAAGCTGCATTGACCATGGAAGAGATTGAAGGGAGAAAAGAGGAAGAAAAATGCATTAACATTTAGAAAATATCAGATATACCACACTTTTATTTTTGAAAACTTTACTTATTTTTTCTAAAGAGTACAATGTTTGCACATCTGTCCTAAATACAGATAGAAAAATCAAACACAGACATATCTGTTCAAAGTGAAATATCAAGGGCTGACTTCCAATTTGTAATTTGTTGGGAGATTTTGTGAGAAAAACATTCCTTGTTTCCCTGACAGATTGGTACATTTTCATACAAATAATGAAATGAGACTATGCAAGAATTTAGATCCACAGTCTATTTACAAATTAAGACTTTCTTTTTTAAAAATAGGTTTTTCCTTAAAGAATATGTCTCATTTTAAAATAATATTCTGAATCTCTGTGGAAAGCTCCGTATTTATCTTATAGTAACAAATTGCATTTTGAAATATGCTATTTTAGGTAATATGAAGTTGTGCAAGAAAAGACTGAGGAGTTATCTATATCTGTATATTCAGACACAAAAAGGGCTTACAACTCCCTGAATTTCCCAGTCAGCCATAGAGAAAACTATGAAACTCTGTCAGCTTTTATCAGGAATATGAATTAGCCCAGTTGCTCCTGCTGAAAGCAGGAAAACATAAACAACTTTCTGAATATAGTTCCATTACCATTACATAAAATCTAGGAACTCTGGCTTGATTATTGACTGGCAAGCCAGAGAAAAAGCCCATGGCTTACTGTTGAATCGTTTCTCAGGCTTGTTGGAAGAGAGACAGGCCAGAGGTCCTAGTTCACATAAAATGCTAATGCAACCAACAACAGAAGGTGTTTTGTTTAAAATGTGGCTTATCTTGTTATTTGTTGGAGGCCTGTGTAGATCAAGCACTATGCTCATGTATAGATATTATCTTCTCAAGTTTACAAGCACCAGGAAGTTGTACCAAATTGTCTTTCCCAACATGTGCACATATTGCAGAAACATGGATGACCATCCATCATGATAACTTATTGAATTTTCACTTTGTATTCTATAGAGCAGATGCTTTCCATGCAAGAAATTCTAACCCAGATCATAAGGAATTCTTCTTACCACACGAGACTTCAAGGTGCTTAAGAAAGGCTGGCTATCTTATGAAAGTGACTGTGTTTCTCCCAATAACATAAACAAGTACACATAGTAAGAATTTCCCTATTTAGACATCCTTCTCCAAGCCACCCAGAACTCTTAGAAATAGACAGAGAAACAAATAAATGCAATTAAAACTTGAAGCAAGATTTTAAAATGTCATTATACATTGTTTGTATTTCACTACAGTTAAAAAAGAGGTGGAAAAACATTTATATTAAGAGGGTCAACATATTTATTTTTCAAAAGATATTTTCTCTCATTAATGAGGCATCAGTTCTTTTACAAGGGTACATTCTCCCATAGCACTTACTTGTGGGTCAGTGCAGTCTGTCCCACTGCATTAGTACCTCAGAGCTACTAATTTTGGTTTTCAGGCACATTAATTACCTCATTTCTGGGAAAGTTCTATGCTGCATTTTAGTTCAATTATTATATCCAGTTTATCTAAGCAGTGTTCTCAATTCCATCTGAGATATTTATTCAGCTCAGTCTGATTCAAAAAAGTTGTTTTGGGAGATGGGCAAGAAGCACAAAGAGTGAACTAAGAACATGGAAAAAAGGATTAAAGGAGATCTTTCCATGCCAGTTTGACATACTTTCTTTATTCATTTATTTACATTTCCCCCTCCTATTATGAGTAGAGGCCATAGTATATTTTATAGTATATTTTATCCTCATAAAACTCCTTCTAGGTAATTTTACTTGACAAGCTTATCCAAAACCATTCGCTGAGCTTGGTAACTACTGATGTGTCTTCCACTCCCAAACCAAACACTTGTTCCTAAGCTGTTCCTTGTATCTGTCAGTCTGTGAACTGGAAAATAAAGAGAGGCTTGCCCATAATGGCATTATAAAGGCTGTGCTACCCAAGACACCCATGAAATGTAAGACAACTGTTCATCTAATGCTCACTTGTCTTCCAATTCCTATAAGCGCCAACATTTCTAAGTTAAACAGGGACACTTTTTATGTACTCAGAATGCTCCTGTTTCCATAGCAAAGGTCACTAAGATTCTCCCCCTCCCCAAATACACACACAACTGCTGCTGTTGCTGCTACTGTTATTATTACTGCATTTTGCAGAAGGCTTTTCTCTGCCTGCTGTTCATATGCTCAGCAGTAGCCAATCTGGCAGAGCTTTTAAAGGAAAGAATCTGTTTATCCAAAGAGGCCATTATGTGGGATGGACAGGAAGCAACACAGTGGCATTTGCCTGCATGTGCACTACAGTTAAGAGAGTCACAACGACTTGAATGAATTTTTAAAGCGACATCCCCAATATCTTCCCAACAGACAAGCTAGGAATGTTTTTATATCAGAGACTAGAAAACAAAGAATAAAGAAAAAGACTGACTGACTGACTGACTGACTGACTGACAACTTTGACCACCTTTCTTCCAGGGAGCCTATGAACCCTCTCCCTTTATTGTCCTACCTAACACTGTGAAGTAGGTTAGGACAAGAGCTATTGACTGGCTCAGAGTCACCTATGAGTTTCATTACCAAAGTGAGGACTAGAACTTGGACCTCCCTAGTCTCAGCCCAACACTAATCACACATCACACTGGACTTGGTAAGTGACAGCCATGGAATTTCTCATATTTGATAGAACCTCCATAATGCAGTGTTTGTTCTTCCCATGTGAGCAGAATATATAAACGATGTAATTTTATTCCTGTTCTTACTTTGTACAAGAATTGAATTCCATACATAATGGGTTATGTGTATTCGATTCTTTCCTTCTGAAAATTGAAGGTTTTTGATTTGAAGGTTATTGTCAATTCTTCACCTCTTATGTAGTTCCCTGTGGCCCCTCCAAACTACCCTAGTTTACTTATATACAGAATCCTGAATTGCAGAGTTTTCAAAGTCTTTGGTGGTATTATCATTCAATTGAATGAGTTTTGCCCATTTCTCTCAGTAAACTAAGAGGATATTGCTATGTCTTCTTTCATTTCTAATCACCATGATTCCCAACATTCCTCATGACAAACCCAAGTTCATTCCAAGAATTCCACATACCAGGCCCAACTGCATTAATGCTAATTTTGCCTCATTGTCCATATCCTTCTGCATCAGTTGTACTCAAGATTCCTAAAATAAGCCAGATCCAGCTGTCTGAACAACTGATTAAACTAAATGGCATGGTGTAATGTTTTTCCACACTGTTAAAATGTATTTATTGAGGGATTATTCCACATTCAGCTGCACCAACCCTGTAACACTTACTATTCCTTAAGTGACACTTACCAACCATTTCAATGTAGATGTTTCATCAGATGTTAACCAGAAATGATTAAGAATAAATTAAATATAAATGTCTTCAAACTATTATACATACTAGTCTGAAACCCAATCATTTTGGGTCTTTCTGTATACGATCTGTCAAAGAACTAAATATTTACAGAAACCCTAAAAAATTACAGTCCAACCTGATGCCACATCCAACATCACTCAAAAAACAAACCACAGACATGCTACAAAACAGGACAGAAACCATAGATACTTCAAATATATTAAACCAGATTACCTGTATGAAACTGCAACTGTCCAATTCACAATAATTATTGGCACCGCTAAAGATTTTACTGGTGATAAAAAAAACAACAGCTGTAAGATCAAACAAGTGCACGCTAAATCAAAATCTCACATATCCTCCACTCTCTTAACTGCTAAGAACAAAAGTTTTTCTTCTTCTAACTAGATGGAATGGGTTAGAAGAGTCAAGAGAGCTGCATTCTCTCCTGCTGTATTAGATTGTAAATGAGATATCCTACTTCAAAATTCACACAAAATAGCTATCCTAGCTCTTTCAACTACTCATTAAGTCACTTTGGATTCTTCCTGAACAGGTACCACACATGTGCACAGAACCCATCTGTGTGATGCACAGAGGCCAGGAAGAACCTGACTGATGTGCCTGCATACTACAGCTCAGCTCCATGTGCATAGTGCCACTGAGAAGACTGGCAGTAGAATAAACCAGCTGTTTCTGGTAGCTGAGTCAGCTCCCTCATGCTCTTCAGGTGCTGTAGTACTGATAAAATGTTAAGGATACTTGGTTTGGAGTTCCCTTGAAGGTGAAAAAGGCAATAGTTCTTCATGGACAGGCTTTCAGTTTCTTTGTAATATTCATAATAATTTGTTCCTTTTATAAAGATCTAGCAAGAGTTTTAAAATTATAAATTCCTTTACAGTTATTACCATAGTATTATAGCTGGATTCCAGTACAAGTGTGTGTACGGGTAAGCCCACTAAACACAGGATGGTGTACAGCTGAATAAATATACATAGAATTGCATTGTAAGCACAGAAATATGTTATTTTTTTAAGCATTTGGGGAAGCAGGTGTCTTTGGAATGGAATCTATGAATTGTCCTGTAATTGATAGAAGACATGTTTGTTTTTTAAAGTCCACTTTCGGATTTGTTACCAGAACACAGTTGTTTAAACATGCTAAGTCTATCACAGGTGTTGTCATGTACAAAAAAAACCAGGGTATTAATTCTACCACCTCAAGCTGTACCCTCTGTTGGAACAACTATTTACAGTTAGGAAAATGAATTTAGGAAGCTGGGTAAATACAGTGATACCTCAGCTCACGAACGCCTCAGTTCATGACCAAATCGGGTCACGAACAAAAATTTCATAAAATTTTTTACTCAGGTCACGAATTCCACATTGGGTGGCGAGCGCGATCATGGCCATCTCCCCATCCCCAGCATGACTGCACCTCTCCCCCCCCCAGCATGCCCACATTCCCACCCATCTCTCCCCCCTCCCAGCATGCCCGCGTTCACACCCATCTTTCCCTCCCACCATAGCACACCAGGATGACGAGCGTGTGCAGGGATGATAG